TGATGTGCCGCGTTAATTAATCTGGGCTCAATGTCGCCGGCCTTGGCGGCAGGCGGCCGTCACCATGCTCGAGTCTCGTGTCCTGTTTCATGACGAGCGAGCGTGACATTTAAATTGGAATTGATCCCGTTCGGAATGTCCAATGCAATGCGTAAAGGACAATCGGTGCTCAAAATGAGTCTTCTATTATTATTATGATCACTATTCGTGCCGTGATGTGAAAGAGACGTGGTGTTCCTTTACAGCCAGACAATGTCTGCATGTGTCTGGGTGGGGAGCGGTGGGCCAGCGGTTAGAGCACTGCGTGACGAACTGAGCTCAATTTGTCGCCATGGCTATCGTCTGTATTCGATGAAGCTGATAACCGGACGGCCCCGGTTCTATACCCCAACGCTCACTCGTGCGACGGGCGGTGCCAAACTTTAAATCTTGACTTAAAGCTTTCGTGACTGCAGGAATTCATATTATTTGAGTCTTTCGGCATGGGGAATGGGGGCGTCTGCGTCGGGAGTTGAACCATGGTCCTCCCCCCTCCCGTGAGTCCTGAGCGGCCCGACTCCTCAAACCTTCGGCGGCTGTGGGAGGATTTGCCGCGTGGCTCGGCAAAGGTGGGCCGGTCGTTTCAGGTGAACGCCAGCAGGACGTCGCGGGACGTCGCAGGTCGCCGAGCTCCTTCGTTCCCATTGCAACTACGCGGCCCTTCTCGCGCCTTGAAGGAAGAAGGCTCGTCAACGCGCTCGTCGATAACACCGTGGCCGCAACGACGAGGCGTGTACAACGGGAGACCATTCGGCGGCAACGCTTCTCCCTACCCTCTCTCTTTTTGGCCGCCAGGGAGTAGGGGACACTGGCCAATAATCTCAGTTTTGTCGTTTTTCCTTGCACGGTGACACATGTGCGTTTGACTTCACGTGCTGAGCATTATATCCAATGGGACCTTTTTTTGCCAGTATCAAAAATGAAGGAAAAATAAGAATAGGTTTGACCCATTTTTGATCGTGTCCCCATAGATGCAACTGCTCGACCTGAGCTATAAATGCTCTGATACGTGCATTGTCCGTGTACTGTTCGCTTTCTGGCATTCCTTGGTCTGACACTGGTGAGACAAGGCCATCTAAAAGCCAGTCTCTGGAGTAGGCTAATCAGTTTCAAAGACAATGCCCGTATATTATCAGAGGATGTTTTTTTGCGTGTTTTGCCACAAGTACAATACGTGTGGCGAATGCAGACGATGCCTTGCAAAAGGTTTCTGTTTGGTGTTTGAACATCTGAATGCGTGTTGAACGTCCTCATTCTCGGTGGTGGTGGTAGTGGTGGTGGTAGTGGTAGCGGTGGTGGCGGTAGCGGTGGTGGCAGTAGTGGTGGTGGTAGTGGTAGCTGTGGTGGCGGTAGCGGTGGTGGTGGTGGTAGCGGTGGTGGCGGTAGCGGTGGTGGCAGTAGTGGTGGTAGTGGTAGCGGTGGTGGCGGTAGTGGTGGTGGCAGTGGTGGTGGCGGTAGTGGTGGCGGTAGTGATGGTGGCGGTAGTGGTGGTGGCAGTGGTAACAGTGGGGGTAGTGGTGATGGTGGAGGTGGTGGTAGTGGTGGCGAGAGTGATGGTGGGGAGCGATTGTGTAGCGGTGAGCGCGCTGCGCTATTGACCCGGCGACCCGGGTTCGATTCCCGCTCAAGAGGGGGTGGGTGGCCAACACCAGTGACGATTAACTGAACCCGAGGTCGACTCAGCCTCAAATTCGTACCTGGTGCGGTGTGTAAACATCGGCACTGGGGAGACAAAGGCGGTCGGGCGTGGTGCTGGCCACCCACCCCCTCTTGTACCGTTCCGGCCTTCATAGTTGCTCGCTAACAGCACTTGCCCCTACAGTCTATTAAGGCTATACGGGGGATCTTTGTCTTTGGTAGTGATGGTAGTGGCGGTAGTGGTGGTGGCGGTAGTAGTGGTGGTGTTGTTTCACTACCGCCGCCACCATTGCAGCGGTCTCGCCGCCCAATGCGATGCAAGCAGTTGGCCGCTTGGAGCGAGTTGATGGCGTCAGCCTGACAAACTAGGAACGCGTGCACAGCAAGCAAAAACAACAACAAACCCCAACCTCGCAACATGCGCAGGCCGTCCACGCTTAGCGTCCTCAAGACGCGCTCCTAGAGAAGGAAGCGCGAGTCGAATCAGTGCTAAAAGGGGCCACGATACCATTGTATACATGGGGATGCGTTCCCGACGTCGTTGTTTGAGGAACGTATGTGGGCTTCGTCTGAGTTTCAGTAATCGTGGTGAATAAAACTAATATTAGAATAACATCGGTATTATGTACTGTACTCACGAGTGCGTTTTACTGTACTCCTCCTACAAGGCAGCGGTAGGAGACGAGGTGAGAGACGTGGAGAGAGACGTGGTGAGAGACGTGGAGAGAGACGAGGTGAGAGACGTGGTGAGAGACGTGGTGAGAGACGTGGAGAGAGACGTGGAGAGAGACGAGGTGAGAGACGTGGTGAGAGACGAGGTGAGAGACGTGGAGAGAGACGTGGAGAGAGACGTGGAGAGAGACGTGGAGAGAGACGTGGAGAGAGACGAGGTGAGAGACGAGGTGAGAGACGAGGTGAGAGACGTGGAGAGAGACGTGGAGAGAGACGAGGTGAGAGATGTGGAGAGAGACGTGGAGAGAGACGAGGTGAGAGATGAGGTGAGAGATGTGGAGAGAGATGTGGAGAGAGACGTGGTGAGAGACGTGGAGAGAGACGTGGAGAGAGACGAGGTGAGAGACGAGGTGAGAGACGTGGAGAGAGATGAGGTGAGAGACGTGGAGAGAGATGAGGTGAGAGACGTGGAGAGAGACGAGGTGAGAGACGAGGTGAGAGACGAGGTGAGAGACGAGGTGAGAGACGAGGTGAGAGACGTGGAGAGAGACGTGGAGAGAGATGAGGTGAGAGACGTGGAGAGAGATGAGGTGAGAGACGAGGTGAGAGACCAGGTGAGAGACCAGGTGAGAGACCAGGTGAGAGACCAGGTGAGAGACGAGGTGAGAGACCAGGTGAGAGACGTGGAGAGAGACGAGGTGAGAGCCGTGGAGAGAGACGTGGAGAGAGACGTGGAGAGAGACGAGGTGAGAGACGAGGTGAGAGACGAGGTGAGAGACGAGGTGAGAGACGTGGAGAGAGACGAGGTGAGAGACATGGAGAGAGACGTGGGGAGAGATGAGGTGAGAGACGTGGAGAGAGATGAGGTGAGAGACGAGGTGAGAGACGAGGTGAGAGACGAGGTGAGAGACGTGGAGAGAGACGTGGAGAGAGACGTGGAGAGAGACGTGGAGAGAGACGTGGAGAGAGACGAGGTGAGAGACGAGGTGAGAGACGAGGTGAGAGACGAGGTGAGAGACGAGGTGAGAGACGTGGAGAGAGACGAGGTGAGAGACGTGGAGAGAGACGTGGAGAGAGATGAGGTGAGAGACGTGGAGAGAGACGAGGTGAGAGACGTGGAGAGAGACGAGGTGAGAGACGAGGTAAGAGACGAGGTGAGAGACGACGTATTCCCCGCTCCGTCAAATAAACATTTCTAGGGTGACTGACTCGTGCCCAACACTCTTCGCGTGGCACGGCACGGCCTGCGGACATGGGCACCCCCCCCACCCCACTCCTCCACTGCATAAGCGAGCTCGGAAGTAGTTCTGCGAAGACATCTTCTGGGGGGGGGGGGGGAGGTAGGGGTCGCCACTCTTGCACACGATGTGGGGGGGTACCGTACACACTCCATGAGAGTAACAAGCGGGAATTTCACGGATTCCCACAAAGGCACGGGAATATACTTCATATATAAATCATCGAGCACGCCACAAACCCTCCGGCGGAGTGTTGGTTTTGTCAGTGCGGAATATCCGCATTTTGTGAGCACAATTCACGCTGCGAATCAAACATTCATCGGCTATCACGACCCTTCGAAGTTTAATAATTCAGTGCTCGATTAAGGAAACAAACAGAAAAAATACACAGCTCAATATGAAATATTGAAGGACGAGGCATGGGGTGAACACGTGTACCTGTAAAGCCCACAGCTGTCAACCCATATGGTTCACGCGTATTCTTGTAACAGGGAAATTGAGTTTCCAGGGCCATACGGCGTACAGCCGTATCAATGCGGGCAAAATAAATAAAATAAAATGCCTATTTGTTTGTGTTTCTCCCTTGTGATGGGACTTTGTAGGATGAACGTTGAGATTTATAAGGACACGGGGTGACCAATAAGGTCTGAATTGGTCTGTAATAAGGTAGGGCACTGATAAGGGGTTGACAGGTGTGCACTTGCTGTGTGTGCTGTGTGCTGTGTGTGCGGTGTGCTGTGTGTGCTGTGTGTGCGGTGTGTGCGGTGTGTGCGGTGTGTGCTGTGTGTGCTGTGTGTGCTGTGTGTACTGTGTGCGGTGTCATGCTGTGTGCTGTGTGTGCTGTGTGCGGTGTCGTGCTGTGTGCTGTGTGTGCTGTGTGTACTGTGTGCGCTGTGTGCGCTGTGTGTGCGGTGTGTGCGGTGTGTGCGGTGTTGTGCTGCGTGTGTGATGTGTATACTGTGTGCGGTGTCGTGCTGTGTGCTGTGTGTCCTGTGTGCTGTATATGTTGTGTGCTGTGTGCTGTGTGTGCTGTGTGCTGCTGTGCGTACTGTGTGTGCGGTGTCGTGCTGTGTGCGCTGTGTGCTGTGTGTGTTGTGTGTTGTGTGCTGTGTGCTGTGCGTACTGTGCGTACTGTGCGTGCTGTGTGTGCGGTGTGTGCGGTGTGTGCGGTGTGTGCGGTGTGCTGTGTGTACTGTGTGGGCTGTGTCGCACTGTGTGTGCTGTGTGTGCTGTGTCGTGCTGTGTCGTGCTGTGTCGTGCTGTGTCGTGCTGTGTCGTGCTGCGTGTGCTGTGTCGTGCTGCGTGTGCTGTGTCGTGCTGTGTGTGCTGTGTGTGTCGTGTTGCGCCGCGTGTCCATTGTGTGTTATGTTGTGCTTCGTGTAGAAGGTATGCCGCGTTTGTGCTACGCTGTACCTGGATGAGACTGGCTGCCGGGTTGCGCCGCTTCTCAAAGTGCTTCTGCCGGTGCTGTTCCTGCACCTTGAGGGCAAATCCTGAGCCCAGAATGCCCTAGGGGCACCGAATACAACACCAACAATTGCACCTCCCGTTAACACGGTTGGCCACGTACGGTGAAAAAAAAGTTCAACATATATATACAATAATGGGCATTCGGCACCAAGTGGCAGTGACGTCACCGTCGCACATGTCAGACTAGGCGCACTTTGATGACACGTAAAGTGACAGACCCAGGTGCCACGGTTTGACTGATTGAGATGACTGGCAGATGCGTTTTAGTCACCCCGCTCTCCGCTCGTTGCTGTGAGCATCACTCATTGTCCTCTGCTGTTGTTGGAGGGCGACTGTCTCCAATCGCCCAGTAGCATCCTTCAAGAGACTCCTTCAGAGGGTCTGATCTTGACAATGCTGATACCAGTCATTGGCAAGTCCAATGAGCTCCACATTTTTCTGTACCACACGGTTCCATCTCTTCTCTAGCTCATGCTGGGCTTATTTAGACCCTTCTACCTAGCCAAACAGAAGCTGCGTGGGCACGTGCTGGCTGGCATGCAGGCTACATGACCCATCCAATGCAGCCTTACCTGACAGAGGAGCTCACTTATGGGAATGTGTCCAGATCTTTCAAGGATCTGTGAACTCTTCACACAATCCAGTCTGGTAGGATGGATCTTAGACATGCTTTTTTTTCTCCGGGTCCTCAGGTTTTCCCCTCCACATTTAGAAACACGCGTTTGGAGTATTTGGCTGCTATAAATTTCCACGTAATAAGCCACTTTACTCATATGTTATCATGTGGCCAGGTCGCTTCTGAAAAATAGATGCATCGCTCAGGGGGTCTATAAAAATGGTTTAGTTTAAAGGGCTCCATGCTTCATAATCATAGGCAAATTAAGGGCATCACTGCGGCCAAGACGACCCAGAGCTGTCTATGCAGTGATAAGACCAGGTGGCTTCCAGACAGCGTTATGCAGCTGATGAAAAGATAATGCCGCTCGAGTGATTCTGAGTAAAGACTGCTCTTGCCAAACTGGATCTGGTCATAAGCACGCTGCCCAGGTACAGAAGCTTCTCCACCCTCGCCACAGCTGCCCCCATCACTCGCGAGGAGTGGAGGGGGTGGAGTATTTGATGCCACAATACTGAGTGTGTGGTGCTTTGTTTTTGTGGGGCTGATGGTAAGGTCGCACTTCTTACTGGCACGCTCCACGGCCAGCAGCAGTATCTCAACATTTTTCTGAGTGAGCAGCAATTACCAGATCATCAGCTTTCATAGCACGGTTAACTAATAGGGTAGTAATCCATTGACCACAACTGGGCATAGATCAGCCTTCATGCATCTGTACCAGATATAAATTATCTGGTGCAGCCATGGAAATATTTTCAAATTATGTCATCAAACAAGATGTTAAATAGTGTAGAGGCCAGAGGACATCCCTGTCACAACCACAGGTGAACAGGGAATGGCAGCAACTTCTGGCCACGCAGCTTTACCCGGGCCTGCCCACCATCATGAAAGACCTTAATAATTGTGGACAGAGGGTCAGGGACTACAAAAAGACGAAAAACAACCCAAAGCCTTGGCCTGTTGATGGTATATTAGGCCTTGACCAGGTCAATAAGGCAAAGATGTACGTCCCGTTGAAATTCTCTACATGTTTGCCGTAGGAGACAGACAGAGAAAACGGCGTCGGTGCAGGACCGCGCTGGTCTGCCACCACGGCACACGATGGGGGAGGTGGTGTGGCAAGGTCGGGGGATTGGCACATGCTCACCGCCGGCAGAGAGAAGAAGGAGATGCCCAGCAGTGCGAAGCCAGACGCGAGCAGCTTCCCTGGCCACGTCTTGGGGTACTTGTCTCCATAGCCGATGGTGGTGAGCGTGATCTACGAACAACAGCCCACGCGGACGTGAGCGGAGATTAATCTGGCTGAGTGACGCTGTGGCCGCAGCGCCTGTAACGCAAGGAGAAGGCCGTGAGTTCAAATCCTGGCCAGATAACAATTTGGCCCATCATAAAGCAGGATCAGCAGGATATCCATCAGCATTACCACCACCACCACTGGCATCATCATCATCATTCACATCAAAATCAATAATCAATCATCTTAATCATGCTACTCATTCTGGAATCATAAAAAGGTAATCACCACTTTGTGTGAAGGAAACAGTGGTTGTCTTGTGGATAGACTGATCTCTGCCATGGGAATGTGGAGTTTCTTCCATTGGCTCAAAGCTGCCAATGGAGATGAGTCGAATTCTCAATGTGGAACAGTGGCACAGTGGTTAGCATGCTGCACTATGAATCAAAGGATCCGAGTCTGATTCCTGGCCGCATCAGTGATGCGTGATATCTCAATGGGTTTTCTGGGTCCCCTCCAGAACACCAGCACGGGCATGGCGCTGTTAAAGGAAATCAGCAAAACGGCGTGGGAGTCACGATAAGTTATCGCAGTCGTTCAGTGGTGCTCGTGCCATCGGGCCACACTGTGGCATCCGTTTAAAAGCCACAAGATGCTGATGCCGACGAGAAAGTTGAAACCGGCCGAGGGTTTTGCGCAAACACAAGCGCTGCCAGGATGTGTGGTGCCACGACCGTGGAGCAACTCCGCAAGCTCCGCGACTCCCTCCCGGCCCCCGCTCTAAACACGCCACCTGCACGCAGCGCACTCACGTAGTGTCCTGGTGGGGGGTTGCCTGGCACATCGGGTTTTAATCCGAAGGGCCCCTAGGGGGAGAGTCCCACGGTTTACCGGTCCCAGGAGATTGGCCGATCCCCACAGGCCAGGTTACATTCTGGGGCCCCTAAATTGGCTTAAAATTGTATGGGCACAAAAAGAAAAGGTTTCCTGGGCCGACCACAATGAGTTACACGCAACATTGGGGGGAGGACGGAGGGTGGGATATTAGGCATAAAGAGCAGACCCCAAGACGCAAACTACTGGGCACGGGAAAATGATGAGGGGAGCAAGGCACCGTGAGCAAGGCACCCTGAGCAAGGAACCCTGAGCAAGGGACAATGGGTGGGGGAGTAACAGATGCTTCAGATGAGGGCAGGGCATCAGTTGTAAATCAAAAGGTTGGCGCGTGATTGGCTTTGCGACGCGACGCCCCCCGGGCCTTTGAAGTTGAGAGTATAAAGGTGGGAGCCACGGGACGATTGGGGCAGTTGTCTACAACCTCCGGGCCGTCACGACCCACTCCCTGCCTGCCGTCCTGCCTCTTCAAGCCGCTCACAGCATCCGTGTGATGCCAGCGAGTGCCGCTACGAGGCAGTGATTGGCTGGAAGTGGGAGGCTGGGAAAGCTGGAGATGCGGGGGGAAGTTAACTCGGAAAAATAGACTAGTACCCGGCAAATATGATGGAAACAACCATAAACAGTTCAGGTTTTACCTGGTTAATAACTTCCTTCCAATGATTTCTCAATTTGTATCCATCTTCTCGGCTGAAGTTATGTCTATGTTTATATATCTGGATGGCTTCATGAACAAACCTTTGATAGTAACCCGAAGGTTTGCAGAGTACCTTGGTCTCAGAAAAAACAATATCACGCGAGCTCACAGCGTTATAACAATGGTCAGCCACAGCAGAGGTATTGGTTCTGCCGTGTTTCAGATCTGCTTTGTGTTCGCGAACACGGTCCGAGACATGTCGGTTTCGTTTCCCCAATGAAACTGCTACCGCAGGTACAACTCAGTTTGCAGACTCCAGGATATTGCATGTCAGGAATGACATCCTTCACAGATGGGATTAGATCATGGATTTTGTGTACTGTGTTGAATCGGACCTGGATCCTGCGTTTGTTTAAGATTTTGGAAATCTTTTTGGTAACACCTGCTATGTATGGTAACGTGATGGTTTTGATCGGCTTCTCACGCGTGCGCGTGAGGCGCGTGTACTGCAGCATATATACGGCCGCCATCGTTTTCGCGTGTTTACACAGCGCACTTTACGCAGCGCGTTTACACGGTAAAAATAGCGTTAATGGTGAGGCGTGCCCCATAGCCCTATCCCCGCCGTTCCTTTTCCGCTTGCATTAGCATTGCGGGCACGCGGATTAGGGCTTATCCACCCGGGGGGGGGGGGGGGGGGGGGTAGGTGTGCATATTCATACTGCCGCCATTTCTGTTGATTAGCGCTCGGCGGGTGCGGGATAACCTCGGCGGTGGCAAGCCAGCCGTTCAGATATGGCCCTCAGAGAGGGCGCTGGCGTGGGGGGGGTGATCACTCGATCGGCGGGGGCCCGGCGAGAGGCGGCCGAGGAAGAGGGGGGACCCCACAGATGCACCGGCCCTTGAATGATGATGAATAATACAGTGAAATGAGCGTGCCGGTGATTTAAAGTTATGCCCCTCTGAGCGATGACCAATCTTTCGCGCCAGCAGACTATAATAGCCACTTCGAATCGTGGCGTGTACACCGAAGGATTTGACAGAGAGGCTACACGCCGGGGGTTAATAACGTGATCTCGCCGGGGATGCCGGGATGACCGCGCGTGCATAATCACAATCAACATCATACGCGACAAGTTAAATTAACTGAATGTCAGCGGCGAGCTCTCACGCGAGTGAACAGTCTCCAGTCTGATGCAGACCATACCCAACGGGGGGCAACACGACCAGCGGCTGGTCACTGGTGCTCCCACACCTCGCCATGGCATCCCGACTTTAGCCGCATCCCGCAGTCTTTGTATAGCGGCAGTTAGGGTGCTCACCTGAACCCCAATTACGTGACCGCATTTCTCCGGCTATCTTATCATTACGCTAGCTTTCGATCTTGAAACGAGTAGAGTTTAGGAGTCTTCTACGAGTTTTTAAAGCCTTGCATAGGCTAGCACCACCACCATATATTCAAGAACCAATTCATCTGTACACCCCCTCAAGGTCGTTATGATCCGCAGACTCTGCCCTTCTGTGCGTACCTCGATCCTGGCTGCATTCCTGGAGTGAGTGGCCACTTCCTGTGTCTGAGTCACGGTCGTGTAATTGCGTACCATTGGAAATTCGTTTGTGATAATGCGGATACTTTTAAATCTCGTCTTAAAACACATGTTTTTAAGTCAGTTCATTTTATTTAGCTTCTGTGTCTCTCTTGACATTTTCTTATCCTTACTCTTACAAGGTGCCTTGAGACAGTAGAAGGCGCCTTACAGATAAATACAAATTATTGTCATCTCCTCCTCCAAGAAGCACTCTTAGAGTTCCACTACCACCACCACCGCGACCACCGTCGCCACCACCACTACCACCATCGCCACCACCACTACCACCACCGCCACCACCAATGCCACCACGATTGCCATCACCTGGCATGGTGTTTGCTCCGTGGTCGCCCACCTCTGGGTGCCACCTCAGCGTCTGACTTTGGTGGCCTGTGCCCTCCTCCCATAGCCTGCACACGCGTCCCACCCACCACAACCTCCTCCTTCTCTCCCTGATCACATCTACAACACTCTCCTGCCACTTTCTATCCTGAATTCCCAATGTCCTTCTTCTGGCTCTGCAAGTCCACGGGTCTCTATGGAAATCCGGGGATCTCTGTGAGAGTCTATGGATCTGTACGTAAATTTGTGGACCTATGTACGAGTCTATGGGTCTCTGTGTGAATCCGTGGATCTCTGTGCGGGTCTATGGGTCTCCATGTGATTCGGTGGATGTCTGTGCGAGTCTATGAGTCTCGATGTGATTCCGTGGATCTCTGTGCTAGTCTCTGGGTCTCTATGTGATTCCGTGGATCTCTGTGTGAGGCTATGGGTCTCTGTGTGAATCCGTGGACCTCTGTGCGATTCCAAGGGTCCCGATGTCCAATTTATCACTCTCCTTCGCAGCCCCAGTGCCTGGGTCCCGGCGCAGTTTAATCGCTTGCACACCCAGGGTCTATCGCTCCGAGGGACATCTCCGTGGGGCCAAGTCGCCGTGGGGCCAAGTCGCCGCAGGGCAGCACACGGCGTACCGTGCCCCACCACAGCGCGTCGGCGTAGGTGGCGAACTGGTCTTTGTTGTCATCCTTCTCGGCCAGGTAGACCAGGAAGGAGGAGAAGACGAGCGCCAGGAAGCCGATGTACCAGGCTGTGATGAGCTCCTGTGGGAAAACAACACACAGAGAGACCAGAGGTCCCCACCACGACCCGTAGAGCCTTTAACGGGCCACTGGGGTCAAGTGTTGTTAGTGAGCGCCTGTGAAGGCCAAGGCGGCACACCAGAGGGGTTGGTGTGGCGCCGTGTTGATTGGGCGGAAGAGAGGGCGACCGTGGGTTGGAGGACGATGTAGGGCAGTGGTTGTCAACCTTTTTACGGCTACTGTACCCCCCCCCCCTTGTTGAATTTTGTTTCAACCGAGTACCCCCTTGCCTGACCCAGAATGGTTCTGAGAAATAAATGTATGAATAAAAAACGCCAATATTTTAACCAATTGTCCACTTTGTGAGGTATCCTAACTCACTAAAATTCAACGGACACTCTGCACATATGGCGTGATGTGCTCCTGCTCGCTGGTTACTCTGGGAAACCACGTTGTTAATGATCAATGCGTTTATAAAGGTCTTTAATATCGTTCTAGATGATCATATGGATTAAAATTGGATCGTAGTTATTTTATATTGGCAGATTCATTCCAATGACTCTCACGTACGATATAATTTCACACGTTTATAAATCACCTCACGTACCCCCTGGGACATTGCCACGTTACCCCAGGGGTCCGCGTGGAACCACAGGCTGAGAACCACCGGTGTAGGGGGACGATGCTGGCGGCGCTGGTGGTGGTTGCAACGCGAGGTGGGCTGAGTGCGCGCGAGTGTCGAGAAGCAGGCGACGGTGAGAAAAGTGATGTCAGAGCTCTTGCTGACAGCCCATAGAGCCGCCGCTCTTAGCCCGCATTTTTTTGTCGTTGCACTGACAGAAAAATCTCACGAATCACTTCACACACCATGACAAAAATCCCCCGTGTAGCCTGAACAGACTGTTAGGACAAGTGCTGTTAGCGAGCCACCTATGAAGGCCGGCACGGCACATGAGGGGGTGGGTGGCCAACACAACGCCCGGTCGCCTTTTTCTCCCTCGTGGTGATAGTTACACATCGTACCAGGTAGTTATTTGAGGCCGTGTCGACCTAGAGGAGACCCAGGACCGGTTCAGATAATCGTCACTGGTGTTGGCCGTGAGTGGGAATCGAACCCGGGTCGCCAGGAATTTTAGAGCAGCGTGCTGACCGCTACACTACCGTTCCCAAACACACACCACACTTCACACACCACACTTCACATGTGTGCACTTAGCGAGAGCTCCAAGACACCCAGTGGAGGCCGAGCGGAGCCGCGCTCGCGTTTGCATTAAACGAGCATTAGCGGATGAGAGAGAGCGAGAAAGCACGTGGGTGGGTGAGTGAATGAGTAAGTGAGTGGGTGAGTGAGGAACCCCCCCACCGTGCCTCCGGAGCACGGTGCACGTGCGCTGCCTAAGCGCTCGCGCGCCGTACCTGGAGGAACGCGATAACCACGCGGCCTCTGTGGCGGCCTAATGAGTCTCGGGTGATACACGCCGGTGTGTGTGTGCGCGTTTCTTTTCTTCTCCAAATGGACAGCGCACTTAGCCCCACAAAAGGAGCCCTCGCCGCCGGGATTTAAGCAAACACGGCCTCCGAGGTTAAGAGCGGCTTCTGGAGAGAGTCCGAATCCCAAGCCACGCCGTGCGGCGGTGCCATCACGAAGGGTGGACCGTGTCCCGGGGATGTGCAGCGTTGAGAATCGCACACCGAAGAATTCAACATCCATTGCCCGCATTTTTCATGCCCCCCCCCCCCCACACTCAGAATATCATAACTTAAAATCCCAGTGGGAGCTTCCAACCCAGCCAATAATATCTTCAGGGACGATAAAATGAGAGCCCGCTTTGCGGGAAGTCAACAGTGATTGCCCGGGGGATGGACTGGCCTCCTTCATATGAATGTGGAGTTTCTGCCACTATCTCAGGGCTGTTAATGTAGGTGAGACGGCTTCTCGGCATGGAGTGGCAGTGCAGCGGTTAGCCCACTGCGCTATGAACCCGGCAACTCGGGTTCGACTCCTGGCCTGCGTTGCGAACCTGCCCTCCTGCATCCTGTTTGCTTGAACCACCCACGGCAATCTCCTCTTCCTCTTTGATTACATCTCTAACGCAGCTTTCTTCACACGTTCCATTGGTCTTTGAAGAGCCAGGAGAGCTCCCGCATTGTCGCTACAGCCACCCGAGCTAGGATCTCACTGAGAGAGGCAAAAAGTGGGATGCACTTCGATCCAAATCACACATGTACCAATTTGGGCCCTGCTGGGACGTCAACGCTCCTGATCTCACGACATCGATGCCGATTCTTTAACAACTTGAGATGGGTGCTGTGTACTTTGGCTGTCTGCAATATCGCCAGGAGGCGGACGATTTGCTCCAAAACAACAGCAGCAGCAGCGGGCGGCTGACAACTACGTTAATTAAAGCAACCTTTTGCATCCGCATTTCCATTCGGCAATTAAGCTAGTGTTACGCAAACACGCACAGCGTGGCATTTGCAGAATAAATATCACCTGCGATGCCGCGAGGCACAGAAACCCACTTAAGCCCCGATTGTTAATGAGAGACTTATCCTGTAAAGATATTCGGTTGATTCCAAATTAAGATTTTGTTTTGGTGGTTTCTGTGGAGCCCGCTCCTTCACGCAAATCGATATGCAAAACATCAGTCTGTTCCAGAGCAGCGCCGACAATGCTCATTGCCTCCGTTGATTGACATTCACCAGTGGAAATTCCGCATTACCATGGCTGGCGACAGACTATCTATAGAACAACCAGGCTCATAAGAATGATAATGATGATGCCAGTTATTGAACCAGAAAAGCCACACTGAGTGTTAAGACTCATTTTTAGGAAATTTCTGCCCTGGCATGTTTGGCACGTTGCATTGCGAATGTTTAGAACGTGGGAGCCCGGTAAACTTGCATAGCTGTCAACCTATACGGTTTAACCCGTATTCTTGTACAGGGAAAATTAGTTTTCAGGTCCATACGGCGTACAACCGTTTCAATACGGGCAAAACACATGTGTTGTTGTCTTTTGTTTGTTTCTCCCTAGTGATGGGACTTTGTAGGATGAACGTTGATATGCATAAGGGCACGGGGGTGACCAATAAGGTCTGAAATGGTCTGTATTGAGGTAGGCACTAAGGGGTTGACAGCTATGAATTTCCAACAATGCGCCAACGTTGGCATTGTATATGGATGGAACCACAGCTCCAACGTTAGCCCAACGTTCCACCTTTACTGGGAGGAAAAGTACCGACAAGACGGGTCTCGACACAGCAGCGGGAGATTTCGGACAAACAGACAAAGAGCGTGGGGGGGGGGGGGTGCGTGGGAGCCACGGAGGAACGCGTCGCGTGGCGGGAAACCTCGCCGGCCACGGCCAACGGTGGCGGCTCCATGATGCGCTCTGCTCACATCGCTGATCGCCGTGCCCTGGCACGAGCGCGGGAGGCAGCAACAGCGGCGGGGGGAGGGGGGCGGCGCGGGAGCGCTTGGAAGGACATCACAGGCCGCCGCCTTCTTAATGTTCACAGCACCCACTTGGATATTCACAGAAAGTCGTGCCCGTCCGCCCACGTGCGCACGTGTCCCTTGACTGCTTCTCAACGGATTTGGTTCCGTGCTGGATCCAATTCTGTTCCTCATATTTAAACAATCTTGGACTAAACTTAAATCACTCAGAATTTTGCTGATGCCGCTGTCAGGATAGTATCGGGCTATTCTCCAAACAAAATCAAACAGAATCTCCAATACAATTTCGACTTAATTGAATATCAATTGTCATCACTTAAATAACATTATGGTATTTTCTTCAAACAAACATTCAGTTTTACTCCCATCACCTATTATGGATATCAGATACAGCATCATTGAACAGAGTGCTTGAAATACCTGAGTTTCACTGATTGATTTGAGACTTACATTCCAGCCCCTATATCGATCACATCTCAAATAAAATCAAATGCAAAAGTGGGCCTTTGTATCCAGAAACAAACATTGTTGTTTCCCCATTCGCCTTTAGTCGCACATTGTTGTTGAAGCTATCACTCTACCACGTTTTGACTGCTGTGACACTGCTTGTAGGTCAGCTACTAATAACACATTAAGCAGGCTCAACCCGCGTCATCATTCTGCTCTTCGATTTGCACTGGATGTACCATACAGGACTTGCCATTGTGACGTCTACTTAAAATTCAATCTCACATCACTTGATGCGGGGAGAAATCTACATTGGTGCCCTGGCCATCCATAAAATCCCGATTGTCAAATCTGCGCTATACTTCGCTAACCCAATCACCCTGTTGTCAAAAACCAAGAAAATCAAGGCGTCCATCTAATTGCCTTTTTTTACTTTCTAAAGAACAGGGATAGGAATAGGTGACAGACAGCCTCTGACGTTGATGCACCAACGTTTCAGGAACAAACCTCGTTATCTCCCTTGGCATCATAAATCTACCTTCAAAAAATATCCCGAAGCAGACGGATTAGTGCTGGATACAGCCGCATTTGCCAATTTGATTTGTAACTTTGATCCTTACCCACGTGCCAATAGAATACCTGTCAACGCATACGGTTCACGCGTATTCTTGTACAGGGACATTTATTTTCAGGTCCATATGGCGTACAGCCGTTTCCATACGGGCACAAAAATGTGTTTATTTGTTTGTGTTTCCTCCCTGTGATGGGATTTTGTAGGATGAACGTTGAGATTTCTAATGGCAGCGGGTAACCAATAAGGTCTGAATTGGTCTGTAATAAGGTAGGGCACTGATAAGGGGTTGACAGATTTGCGATTGTTCAATTGTTCTGTGCAATTTTATTTATTGCTGTGTTGTTGTCTTGATGTGGTCTGGGACTGCTGTTGTTGTTTTGCCACCTTGCCCAAGCTTGCATTTAGTGTTGAAACATCGGCAGCAATCGATGTACTTATATCATTTGTACGTATATACCTTTTTCATTTTTATTTACGTCTTTATTTTGAGTGACATGCTCACCATTCCTATGCTTTGCACTCCTACCATAGTTTGTCATTGTAACTCTATTACCAGACCCTACTGGACATCTGTGAAAAAGTGCTTGAAAGCTCATTGGATTTCTCCAGTCTAAATACATATTCTGATTCTGATGACTTTTAGGTCTGTACTATAGAGAGTTGGTGATGTGTTCAAGGTCTGGGCTATAGAGTGGGTGATGCGTTCTATGTGTGGGCTATAGAGTGGGTGATGAGTTTTAGGTCTGGGCTATAGAGTGGGTGATGAGTCCTAGGTCTGTACTATAGAGTGGGTGATGAGTTCTAGGTCTGGGCTATAGAGTGGGTGATGAGTACAAGGTCTGGGCTATAGAGTGGGTGATGAGTACTAGGTCTGGGCTATAGAGTGGGTGATGAGTTCTAGGTCTGGGCTATAGAGTGGGTGATGAGTTCTAGGTCTGGGCTATAGAGTGGGTGATGAGTTCTAGGTCTGGGCTATAGAGTGGGTGATGAGTTTTAGGTCTGAGCTATAGAGTGGGTGATGAGTCCTAGGTCTGGACAATAGAGTGGGTGATGAGTTCAAGGTCTGGGCTATAGAGTGGGTGATGCATTCTAGATCTCGGCTATGGAGTGGGTGATGAGTTCAAGGTCCGGGCTATAGAGTGGATGATTAGTTCTAGGTCTGGGCTATGGAGTGGAGGATGAGTTCCAAGTTAGGTCCCCGTTTAGGTGTTGCCTCCCCTAGGTCAACTCGGCATTCAATGAGTGCTTACTGCGGTGTGTACACGCCAGCACTGGGGAATCAAAGGTGCTCGCGTGCAGTACTTGCTGCAACAGCCTCCAAGGGTACCCCGTCGGGAATCTCTGCCTCTGCGCACGTATGGTGCCCGCGGGTGTGAGCGTGTGCCCGTGCGCGCGAGCATGTGCGGGCGTGGGCACGCACGTGCGGGCATGCGCCAGCGTGTACGAGCATGTGCTGGCATGTGCGAGCATGTGCAGGCGCGTGCGGGCGTGTGCAAGCTTGTGCGGGCGTGCGCGTCACCTTGCTGTGCGCGTAGACCACGGAGCCCAGCAGCTTCCAGGTGCCGCCCCTGCGGTCCATGCGCACCATGCGCAGGATCTGCAGGAAGCGCAGCGAGCGCAGCGCCGACGTGGCAAAGATGTTGCCCTGGGTGCCGGCGGCGATCACCGCCAGGGAGGCCACCAGCACGATGCTGTCTGCAGCGCAGTGATACCAGCCGTGATGTCACACACACAGCAACGTGTCTCTAGAACGAGCCATGAGGACACACACACAGCTACGTGTCTCTAGAACCAGCCGTGATGTCACACACACAGCAATGTGTCTGTAGAACCAGCTGTGATATCACACACACAGCGATGTGTCTCTAGAACCAGCTGTGATGTCACACACACAGCGATGTGAACACGGACGCGGCGGGTTCCTCACCGATGATGCAGAAGGGCTTGCGGGCGAAGCGGAGGCGCCCCTGCCAGCCACGGTAGCGGCAGCAGCACCCGGCTGCCCAGATCCTCACGAAATACTCGAGGCCGAACAAAACCATCATGATGCCCTCCTGCGGAGACACGGAGACAAACATCCCCCGTGTAGCCTACATAGCCTGTCGGGGCAAGGGCTGCTGGCGAGCGCCTATGAATGGCAGACGCAGCGTTCGAGGTGGTGTAGCCAGCACCGTGCCCGGTCGCCGTTGTCTTTCCGGCGCTGATGTTTAGCCAGCACACACCAGGGAAGGTTCAGGACCCGGTTCGAGTTTATTGGTCACCGACGTTCGAGGTGGCTGGGAATCGGCCTCGGGTCGCCGAGCTTTGTAGCACACAACGCTAACCACTGCGCTCGTGCTCTTGCTGTTTCCATATACGCGGCACTGCGTCTGAGAACCCTGCCTCGCTATCCACCCTCACACCCGGCCCTGGTGCGCTCTCAGCTCGGATCGCTTCTAACTCCAGAGCATTGTTGCTGCCTGTCCTTGCATTTGATCATCTTCGGCAATGACGACTCCACTCTCGGCAACAACTCCACACACGGGGTCTCGGGGCTGTTATTGATCCATACTCGTTTTCCCTCTGCCTGTCCTTGCTCTCTGTCTCTTGCTCTCTCTTTAATAAATATTCAAGCTATTTCTGTGCAGCGCCTTCAGATGTGGTGACGTTAGCTACCACAAATGAAGTCAAAATGAATTGTATTACATGATGGGGACCACTTTATATAAAGGCTCATCGTTTGAAGAGGAAAGTACTGTTAGCGAGATGGTGGTGTGGCGAGCACTAATGTGTACACACACACGATGCACTTTCTTACATTGCATAAGCACACAATATCCACACACATGCTATGCTTATCTTTACGCATTAGCACACGCGCTGTGCAAAGACAAACATCCTCCCAAATATAGAGATTAATATACTGTTGGCAAGCACCTATTAAGGCCGGTTAAAGACACAAATATAAACAATTTTATTTTAGCAGGTAAGGCCACATATTATAGCTCAACGAAGTGGCTTATGTGGAAATGTATACCAGCCAAATACTCTAACTCTAAATGTTGATCCTAAATGTGGAGGGAAAAACCAGACATGCAAACTCCAAATATATAGGCGTTAGGGTGGGAATTGAACCCACGACCTCCTGTATACCAGGCGAGGAAGTTAACATCTTGCCACCATGTCACCCGGACGCATGCAGGCTGAGGGTGGCCACAAATCCGACGTGATAGAAAACTACGCGCCGTGGCTCCGAAACGCCTCGTGGTCACGGTCACTTCCAGACCGCATCAGCAACGCCAAAACCCGACACTGGGGAGCCATGCAGGCAAAATTGATCATTTAAGAAGGTATTTGTTTATTCATTATCTGCATTTCCTAAAGGCCGCCATACATTTCGAAGCTACTGTAGCGGATAGAGAAAGAAAAATCGAGGTGTACATGCAGTGTCACATCTCCCCTGGGCTCTATCTATCGTTCTAAACAACTTGTCCAAACTCTCGAGTGAGGATGGCCATTTCTCTCTTTCCCTGCACCTGCTCCAGGTGCGGTAGCAGGCCGGTGGAAATGAGGTGATTTTGGCCAAACAACATCCACAACACTGAACTGTACAAGAAGACCGGTTGTCCCACTTTTATTACCTTGATTTAATTAAGTTCTACTTCTGTAAGCCCTGTCCTTCATCTGTAGGCCCCTGCCTTTCCTCTTTAGGCTGCACCTCTTTACTCCGTGTGCCTCGCCCCCATACTTCTTAAGCCCCACCCCTTCCTGTTTAGGCCCCACCCCTTCCTGTTTAGGCCCCACTCCTTGTTGTTTAGGCCCCCACCCATTCCTGACTAGGCCCCCACCCATTCCTGACTAGGCCCCCACCCCTTCCTGTTCAGGTCCCCACTCCTTCCTGTTTTGACTTTGCACCTTTCCATTTTAACCCCCCTCCCGCCACTTTTTTAGGCCCCACCTCTTTCTGTGCAGGCTGCCGCTCCTTTCTCAAGGGCACTGTGTTGGGCTGTTTTAGGTGATTGTGGGGGTTGTGGAGGCAAGGGAAGGGGGGCAGCAGTGGTCAAGGTCGGTGGGGACGGTAGGGGTAGGTGAGGGGTGGCTTCACAACAACATCAGCCACAATGCCTCTTAGAGCAGCGATTGAATAATAGATAATTACCAGTCGACGGCGATACCGATGATGAAAAAACTATACGTACATTGGCCAATGCTATGCACGCACAGGCACGCTATATAAAGACAAAGATCCCCCGTATAGCCTGAACAGACTTTTGCGGAAAGTGCTGTTAGCGAGCACCAATGAAGGCCGGAACAGCACACGAGGGCGTAGGTGGCCAACACCACGCTCGGCCGCCTCTGTCTCCCTCGTGGCGATTATTCCACACACTGCACCAAGTAGTCATTTGAGGCTGAATCGACCTGGGCAAGGCCCAGGACTAGTTCAGATAATCATCACTGGTGTTAGCCATGAGGGGGAATTGAACTCGGGTCACAGGGTTCCTAGCGCAGCACGCTAACCACTACACTACTGCTTCCCACAATATACACACACACAATCATGCATTATGCAGACACGCAGTCACATGATGTACACACATATGCTACACATCCAGTCACACATTACAAAACCACAGCAGGCTCTCGTGTTGGGTCAGAGGGGCTTTTTGAACATCTCCTTCCGTTGGCGTCATCTGTCACGGGCCGAGAGGTGACAGGATGGCGTGAGACGTCGGTGGCTCTGTAACTTTCATCTGAATATGGCTGCAGTCAACTTCAAAAGCCGGATCTCTCTCTGTTTGTGCATGGGGGAGGGGGGGATCGCGCAGTCGAGGGGGAGTTCTAAGAGCGGATACTGGCGGGAAGCTGTGGGGGGTGGTCAGAGTCTCAGAGGTAGCTGCCCATCTTTCTCGGCAGCAAGCGGTGGAATCTGGCGGAGGGGAGAAGGCACTGCCGAGGAGGTGCGGGGCGGCATAAACGCCCTTGGCCACGATCACATCGCTTGAGTCACTGTCGGCTGGGCAACCGTATGGTGTCACTCCCTTTCGGGATCTTGGCTTATTTGTGGGGTGGCCGCAGCCTTGGATTAGAACCCACCATGTCTGCAAATGCTGACTCAAAGAGACTCTGTCATGGCCATTATGAGCCACCCCCTCTTTACCCGAAATCATCTCGCAGAACTACGGCCAGCTCTCGATTTGCCTGGCCTAGTGGAGGGGTGTGGCCCATGTGAATCGAAATCAATGGACAATGGTGAACATTGTAAAAGTTAGGCGACACAAACGCGTCATCTGCCGTTAAGCTCCGTAGACCGGGGTGGGGGTGACGGTGCAGACTGTGTCGTCACTATTTCGTGCTTCTCTCACGAGTCTCGAGTGGGAACAGTGGGCAGAAGTGGCAGCGCAGTGAGCGAAGGCGTCAACGAGCAGGGAACATCAGACGCTGAAGCCGCTGAATGGATTGCGAACCTCAACGTCAAACCATGACTGCTTCCCCAGCCATACGGAGCATGCTGAACCTGTTATCGAGATGATCAACCCACAAATAATCAAGAGACAACTTCACGTCAATAATTCAGTTTCTGAGATTTATAGCTAATAGCTAACGCTGTCTCGATCTTTCTCTCTCCATCTCTCCTTTTTTTGTACGACTCTTTCGCTCTCTATAGCTCGCTCTGCCTCCTGCATCTCTCTCTCTCGCCCTCTCGTTCTGTCACAATCGCTCTTTCTCTCTCGTATGTTTTGTACATTTTTTAACTAAACAATATTTGCACAGTAACAATATGGATTCGTGATGCGTCTGTGAGCAATGGAATGGGTTTTCAAGGCGAGGGCTTCTCCCTGTTCTCTCCTCATCTCTCTCGCGATTACTCGCGCTCTCTCCCTCGCTGCAGCAGCTCAGCGTCTCTGTATCTCTCTCACGTTACCAGGATGAGCAGCACCTGGTTGGCCAGGATCTGAAAGTCGGGGATGGTGGAGAACACGGAGAGCACCAGGCAGGAGAACACCATGATGAACCTGCACAGGCACACAACGACAAAGAGAAAGATCCCCCGTGTAGCCTTAACAGACGTTTTGGGGCGAGTGCTGTTTGCGACCACCGACTTAAGGTCGCCACTGTGGCACAACGAGAAGAGCTGGGCCACCTTTTTCCGTCCGAGTGGGGATGTCCCGACATTGCACCGACTAAATCTAGATTTTAAGTTATGGTGACTGCAGGGATCCATACTCTTTGGTTCTTTCGGTAAAGTCACGTAGGTATAAAATAAAATAAATTAAATCACGACGTTTCGATTGCAACACAATCAATCATCATCAGGTGGGAAAACCACAGAAATATTTTTTCTCTCCCACTTCACTGTGCTCGGCCTTGCAATGGCTGAAGACCTGATGGGGGATTTGGAGTGCCTGAACACCTCCCTGCATCTTAGGAAACGGACTGTTTCAGGCATACTCTTTGGTTTCAGGCATGTTGGAGGCTGTGAACCATGTCAAAACAAGCATGCAGGACAAGCGAACGGAGGATCACTTTGATGTCTTGTTCACAAAAGCAACTGCAATAGCAACAAAGTTGGACCTACAACCTATTCAGATGCCTCATATCCGCAAACCTAACAAGTGTTACACCAGTCAGGCTGCAGCACATATCCATCCGGATGCCCAGTCTTTGTACAGAGCCAAATTCTACAACGCCTTGGACACAGTGAATACTCAATTCATAGAGAGGTTTGATCAAGCTGGATTCCACAAGCTTGAAAATGTGCTGCTACGCGGAGACATGAACAAGGTGGTAGACGAGTCTCTTGAATTGAATTCAAGATTACTGCAGGTACAGCTGGTCATGTTTGGGGCTAATTACACATATCAAACGAGCTCAGATGTTGCTAGCATTATTATGGAAATGGTGCCATAGGTGAGAGGTATCTTCAGTCATACAATTAAACAAGAAAAGGTAAAAAAAGAAAACAGAACAATGTAATACAATATACTATTAGACATTATTGTAAAACAATAAAAAAAAGTTCATCCCATGTGTTTGTGATTTTTTTTTATATTTCAGACAGGAAATGAGTTTTTACATTCAGATTTTTTCCGAGGGAGACCCCCAGACCCCCGGGAAGATTTAGTCCCCCCAATGTTGACTTCATGGCTACGATCTTGCCACACACACACGCTTTGACTCCACACGCACACACACGCGCATGCTTTGATTCCAAATTGAGTGACTGTCACCGAATGAGTTCAAATTGCAGTGGCCGTGGACACAGGCGGCTAATTTGTATTTTTTGTTGTAGTTGGCCGACTCCACGGTTCCTCACACAGTGACGGCATTTTTTCAAAGGTCGAAGGTCGAACAACCAATTCCGCGCACGTGTCACTGCTCAATTTCGCACAGATAAGCTCGCCGCGGAGAGACGCGCGCTCGTGAAACGCGGGGGGAGCGAGAACGGGGGGGGGGGGGGGCGAGGCGCGGAACCATCGGCGCGCTCCGCGATTTCCATGGATTGTCAGGATTCGTGGTTAAAATTAAAATTCATGAATCTATTCTTTTTGTTTATCGGGGATCGAGCTCGGGTCGCTGAGCTCGCAGCGCAGTGCGCTAACCGCCAGTTCTACGGCTGCACCCAGACAATGAAAGACACAGATCGCTCTATAGCCTTTAACAGACTGTTGGGGCAAGTGCTGTTAGCGAGCACCTATGAAGGCCGGAACGGCACACGAGGGGGTGGCTGGCCAGTACCACGCACGGCCCCCTTTGTCTCCCTCGTGGCGATGTTTACACAACGCACCAGGTATTCATTTCAGACCGAGTCGATCTTGGGGAGGCCCAGAACCGGGTCAGATAATCGCCAATAGTGTTGGCTGTGAGCGGGAGTCGAACTCGGGTCGCCGTGTTCGTCGCGCAGCGCGCTAACCCGCGACACTACTGCTCCCCACAATCGCACACGCACGCGCCACATCACGTAAAAATGCAAGAAAGTACTCACGCTCACAAAGATGTTTGTTTTCGTTCAAGTTTAGTCTGCACGGAGGGTTGTGGCGTGAGCCCCAGAGGGATGCCTACAGGAGGGGGCGGTCTGGCTGCCATCACGCACGGCCCTCCGTACGTCTGGTCGGGGGTGGCCCAAAATCAGTTCGGATTCCACTCGCCACTGTTGTACGCTTTAGTCGGGAATCAAACTCAGGTCGCCGGGGTTCACGGTGTACTACACTAACCACTGCACCATAACACCCACCCCCATACACAGACATACAAGAGACACACTTCACCATCCCTTGGAGCCGACACGTTCACAGGCGGTTGGGGCAAGCGTTGTTCGCGCTGCTCGCGCAGTGCTAACCCGGCGATGTCAACTACACACCGTACTAGGTACTCATTTGGGGCTAAGTCGACCTTGGGGAGGCCCAGGACCGGATCGGATAATCGTCACTTGTGTTGGCCGTGAGTGGGAATTAAATAAAGGCAAAGATCCCCCCGTGTAGCCTGAACAGACTGTTGGGGTAAGTGCTGTTAGCGAGCACCTATGAAGGCTGGAACAGCACACGAGAAGGTGGGCCGCCAGCACCACGACTGGCCGCCTTTGTCTCCCTAGTGGCGATGTTTACACACCTCACCAGGTACTCATATGATGCTGAGTCGACCTTGGGGAGGCCCAGGACCGGTTCTGATAATCGTCACTGGTGTTGGCCGTGAGTAGGAATCAAACACACACACACGACAACACAACAACCGCCGTTCACCACTACACACACGCACACTAAACTTTTTAAACTAAACTTTTAAAAACTAAATACAACTTTTTATTTTACCAGGTAAGGTCCACTGTGTTGTATAGCTTTTTTTTCAGAAGCGACAAATGATAGCTCAACGAAGTGGCCTTATCACGTGGAAATGTATAGCAGCCAAATACTCTTAACGCATGATGGCGATTCTAAATGCGGAGGGAAAAGTGGAGGACGCACTGCGACCAAGGATAGAGAGAAAGAGAGAGAGAGAGAGACACGCAAACTCCAGAAATACTGGCGTCAGGGTCGGGATCGAAGCCACGACCCCGTGTATACCAGGCGAGGGAGTTGACATCTCGCCACCGTGGCACCCGCTATGACGAGGCAGTCGGCGTGAGAGAGCCAAGCGCGCGCTGGGGAGCCCAGGTCGCGTGGTCAGCGGAGAGTGTCGAGAGGGCAACGTCCATACGGCGGCCACTGGCGACAAATAACAGGTCAGCTCTCAAGCGGGCCCCGTGAGCGAGCGAGCGAGCCAGCGACAGCCCCAGCACAATTCATACCATTTTCCTTTCCGTGCACCTTAATTATCTCTCGACGTTCGCCCCGCAAGCGGAACGCGACGATCTCACCGGGCCACTCTTCCGCCCAATTGCTCCGCTGCGTCGGTCACTGCGGTGGTAAGAACAATACGCGCGGGGGGGGGGGGGGGGGGCGGAGGCGCGGTGGTTTGCGCACTGCGGAGTGAACTCCCTGACCCGAATTCGGAGCGAGCGTCTCTCGCGATCGGAAAGGTTTTGAGTTGAAATTCTGGCTGGGGATTGGCTCAGCCATGCATCCCCCCCCCCCCCATCAGGGTCGATACAATGGGTTTGTGGGGAAGTCAACAGTGATGGACTCACCCCTGCCATAGAGGCAACTATGAGACAGGATGGAACGGGCTAAGTGAGAATACATGAGATGGTGGAGAGACTTGGTAGACAGCTATGGGACTAAGCATCCAGCTGTTGCTACTCTATACCGTGTGGTCGGAACGACACCCAGCCACCTTTTGCCTCCCCAGCAATAATTTTGACAGGTGGAACCAGTTACTCGTGTTCGGCTGAGTTGACTTAGGGGAGGCCCAAAAGAGGAGGGAGGTGCCGCTGCGGGTGTAACGGTCAGCCCACCGACCGGACTTGCAATCCAAAGGTCGCCAGTGCGGTTCCGTCTCCTGGCATGGCAGCTCAAATGATGTCGCATAACTCCTCCTGCCTCTGTCCACCAGGCAGTCAACAATGGGTACACCGCAGTTAGCCGATCGGAAATTCCATCGGCAGGTGGGGTAGAGTGTGGGTGGGCTCACACCTGCCAACGCTTCAAGGGAAGACCAAATACCGTCGTAGAGATCGCAGCGGTGGAGCTCCTTCTGGCAACAGTGGGGTGAACGAGCAATTGCAGGAGCTGCGCCTTTACTTCTTTCCTGGGACAGCTTCGGTTACGACTCCGCGCGCGCGATGTGACGCGGGGCGCGGCCGCGAGCGGACCGCGGGAGGCCATTGCCGCCGGAGGAGGAGCGAGAGGGACGAGATCGATCGCTGGTAAACGCCGGAGCGCAGCGCCGGGCTCTCTCGTTGCGACGAGCGCTTTGCCCGACGAGCCGTGTGGTGCCGCGCCATCGTCGGTTCTGGCTGCGGGATGACGCTTGGCAAGCCGTCGTAATCCGCCCCACCTCCCTCTCTCTTCGAAACATTTCGCTGATTGCGCGCGCGCCGCACGCTCGCGCAATTAGGCACCCATAAGCACGCGCTGGCCGCATAAACACTCACGCGAGCTCGCCAAACAAAAGCACAGGTGCACGCGCGCACGCAGGCGCTCCGAGTCGGCGCTAATCAAAGGGTAAGCTGACGCGACACCATTCAGTCGTTTGCTAGTGTCCTTGAGAAGCCCTCGCTCGAGATGAAAAGTTGGGGCCTCCTTTTCAAGGGAGGCGCGAGTTGCAGCAAGGCCGGCGAAATGAAGCCAAAGGGAATGGCATAAAGACAGCGGGCAGGAGAGTTTGAAATTTGTGCTGTTTCCCTCTCGGCCGTGATGTCGGGTCGAGCCGCGCGATGTTTGACATGATGTCCGACGTTTCGCTCCACGTGCGTGCTTCGAGCGTCCGTTGCCATTCAGTTCCTGCAGAAGCTCCCAGCTCGAAAGATCGAATACTTTGTTCCGCAATATTTAATTCGCATTTGAAGCACAGCAAAGTACAAAAGATAGGACGATAAAAAATACTAAACCCGTTTGCATCGAACCGTTGAAATTGGACA